TTAGAGATTAAAAAGTAACGAAAATTTACATACAGTTTCATATTATGTCGCCGACTGATTTTAGTGTTAAAGGTGCCGTTAAGAGAGAGTTTAGTGTAGTGTATTTGTTTATTGAAGCCAAAAATGCCGGGACGTTTTTAGATATAGATAACTTTATATATAATGTACTTTCTCATTATACAGTTCTGTGAATTTGATGGTTGATAGTTTTAAGAGGATAGAAGAATTAGAAAATAAGTAAGTTTATTTGTTTTTTTTTTAATACTAATTGAATATTCGACTAAATAAATTACACTATTTAATCACTTAGGTATTGTTACACTTCATTTAAATCACTTAATTCAAAAACCAACTTGTTTACAATACTAAACTCAATGATTATATACTTCAAAATCTGAATTACAACTGTTCTATAAACTATCAACTCAAATTTATATCATGACTTTATATTTAAATCTAAGGTTTATATCTGTCATGACAGTATTTTAAAAATGGGGAGAATTTACTATTGTACAATTCAGCACATTGGACCATTTAAATCGACACCTTAAAGAAAATCTAAAACAGTCGTATATTCGTGGAATGAAGTATAGCCTACTTACAACTGTGTCACATAAAAAAGTATCAAAGTTATTATAAACGTTTAGCAGCTAATAAGTCAGCCCTTTTTTAAACTGTCTTCGAATAACAAATTTAATAAAATGTTGTAGTATTTTTAGCCTCAGTGATTTGATTTCGCTTTATAAAGTACTTTTAAAGTGGCTATTTGGGCAAGCACAGTTGATTAAACAATCGCTTTCCGGGATAAACAAATTGAATATATTATAAACTATTTGGACAAACTGTTTAAGATTAGAGATACTTTATTCATTCATTAACTGCCACATTGTTAAAGGGTGTTCCATAATAAATTTAATCTTAGCTAATTGGTGATAGCTGATATCAACATAAAGCGTTTGAGCTCAAATTGCTTTGGCAAAATGTTGCTAGTTTTCGTTCTACAGGGTGATTCATTTATATTTTTTTATATAATATTAGATAATGAGATATATTGAAAACTGTTCAACCGATTTAAGTGAAATTTAGTACATTGCTTAATTATTTGGTATGCTTGGTATGAGAATATTATTTTTACCATTGACACTACGCTGGCGCCACCCATTTTAACTTTGATTCAATAATGTGGCCATTTTTTTTTTTCGCCTTTTATGTCCGTTTTGAGACCTAATTACGTTCGTTCCCTTTACAATATTTTGCCATATCTCTTACCGGTTATTTTTTTTTTTTTTTATATAAATAAGTGATTTTAGGTAACCCCACAAGTGAAAGGCTAGGGGATTTAGTTCGGGTTTGTGTGCTGCATACTAAAGCATACTAAATATTAGCTATAGATAACCAATATACTAAAGCATACTAAATATTAGCATAAGATACCAAATTTTACTTAAATAGGTTGTATAGCTATATATATATATATGTATATATATATATATATATATATATATATATATATATCCCTAAAAATAATATAAAAAATATTAATGAATCACCCTGTAGAAGAAAACTAGCAACATTTTGCATAAACGCTTTATTTTGATGTCAGCTAGTACCCAGTAGCTAATGTCCAATTATTTAGAGGACACCCTAACATGTGGTTATGCACATAAAAAAGTTAACATTTATAAATTAAAGACATGAGATTATAAAGGTGCCATGTCCACTTTTTCAGATATTGAGTAATTGAAGGAAACGCGTTTTCACTTATATATTTTTTTTTAATAAATTTTATAAAAATTACCAATATCTTATTAGATTAGAATCGTTTTGTACTTTTTTATACAATATTTTTTGTTTTTCTAGAATTTAAACTTTTTTAGTAATTTTAATTTTAATGGATATAGCACCTTAATCAACCAACATTTTATGCAGATGCTGGTATAAACTTGAGTAGAGAAAGGTGTTATGTCACCTATGTTGAATTTAAATTTTGGAAATTAAATTTTATTTGCAGATTAACAAAAGCAAAGTAAGATACATTAAAAATTTATAAACAAAGACACAGAAACATTTAAATTTAACATGAATTACGTTTTTTCTTAGGGTTTTTCAAACATTCTTCTAAAACAATATCATAATACCATTTATACTCTGCTGGAATAAACGTAAGTTGATCTTGTATTTGAAATTTTTTCAGAAGTCAACACACCGCATTTAGGCAACTTTTGTAAAACAACTTGATTACTTTGTACTATCAGTTCTCTTTGTTTTAAGTCAACTTCCATAAATGGGGTAAACGGATCTAAACTAGTTTTGTAAAAGTATTTTCCAAAACAACTTACTCTTAGCCACTTCACTTTATCTCGAAAATTTATTTTTTGGTCAAGACTATTAGTGAGTCTTTTGTTTAAATGAAGTTTTGCAGGTAGAGTTTCAAAGCGATAAAAAAATGTTCCATTTTAAGGCATACACTTTGTTTGGTACTCGCAGATCTAATAATTTCCCGATATTGGTCTGGTATATAAATATTCTGATGTTTTCAAAGAACCTTTTCTATTCTTCCAAAGTCTCTGTCAGAGTCAAGGTAACTGTGACCAACTTCGGGAAATTTATGGTCAATGATCTTAAATATTTTATTTAATATTAGGTATTGAAAAAGGTTAATAATGAAGAAGTTTTTGTTTTGTCCCCCACATTGATCTGACCAAATTATTAAATGATCAATTTGGGGATTTTCTTTTTTAAGAAGCAGACAAAATCGTAGCAAACAACTTGCTATTTCATTACTTCCCCTATGATAGCTTGGGCAAAGGCATCGTTTGTTGAAAATCCATTGTTATGTAACATTTTTCTTTGTAAATTTTTACTGCTTCGCGGTCAACTTTCTGCTGTGCAAAAGCAAGTTGAAAATTATTCGAGTGCTCTAAAGAGTTCTCTCCAGCATCGCATAAACTGCAAGTATCACTTTTTGATACACCAAAAGATAAGTTAAACCTTGTTTTAAATATATGTCTGTAAAAAGAGGCCTTTACGAAATATTTAGTTTAGAGCTTTTTTGTTTGACAATCCTCTATATACAGTTGATGAAGTCGGTTAGTATTTAGTAAAGGGGAAAGGTATTTTTTATGTGGGTTTTTAGTCCTAGACTAATGTGATTCTTCTGAAGGAAACTGCTTGATATGATTTTCAATGCAGTTTATTACTTCATCGGATATTTTTTTTTTTTGATTTTTGTGATGCCCTTGCTTATGTGGTGAGGGCATTACCTGGCCAGATTTTAAGTAATTTTGAGCTTTACAGACTTTTTTTCGTCCAATTCGGTATAAAGAGCAGAAAGCATCTTTACACACTAGTGTATTTTCTTTATCACACGTAATAAAATATTTAAAGCTGTAAGATTTCGTTTTTATATTTTTACGAGGGCGGTGACGATTAACTTCCTGCATCTTAATACTTTTAAAAATTAAAATATTTTAATTATAAAATTTTCTTAGAATTTCTTCTCTGTTTGCAATACTAAACTTCTCAGTACAGTTTAGTCTACATTTTTCTTTACACGGTAAATCTCTTTTAAATGTTTTTTCTTCCATCACTTTACCAGTCTTACGAAATATATTCTTTACCTTGTTGTCTTAACCTTGCAGCTTTATTTCGTTTCCAATTATCAGGTTTCCGGACTCTTTTTTTAGTTATTTTTAAAACTTTCTTAAGATTTTTTATTTCTTAAGATTAAGATCTTAATCTTCTTTTTAGCTTTACCTTTTTAATTTCTTGGTTATCACAAAACATTTTACGTTTGACTCTATCAACATCCGGATATTTGTTTATGAGACTCGTCGAATAAGAAATATTTGAGTTATCAGAATCCTCTTCTGAATCTTCTTCACTAGAAGAGGAATATTTGCTGCCTGATGTAACACTTTCATCAGGACAATTATGCATATATTCTAAAAATTTAATTTATGTACATAGGTAGGTATGTATGTAATAATAACTCAAGTAATGTATATTATATCTATATTTTTTTAAATACAAAATTGAATTGCAGAGGTGTAAATTGTTATTAAAAAGAGATGATTAGTTAATAAAGGTAGTAAAAAATTTTTTAATACGCTTACCTGCTTTAGAGTTGACCTTCTTTTGAAGTCCACTAGTGTTTGGCTGCTCTAATATCACCGCATTGGTATTGACCTCTAGAGAAGTATAAAATACAGTTTCTAAAATACCTTTATTTGAAACACATATTTTCTTGTTTTTTACTAATTCTAACATTCTTTTACTTCTTGAACCCATGTTGAAAGATGTGATAAACAACAAACATAACCTTAAAATGTCACATGGCACCTACATGTAAATAAAACTTTCCCACTATCCAGTGGATAAAGGTGCTATGTCCTTAAATATGGACATAGCACCTTTATCCAATAAAAAAGGGTACTTAGTCATAGGACATAGTACCTTTATCAATTAAAATAATCCTTATTATTAACAATTTAAGAATCTTGAGTTATTCCGGGGTTGTATTACGACTTTAGGTAACCAAATATACAAATAAATCATTTTTTGAAAAAATAGATATAGCACCTTTATTAACTCATGTCTTCAATTAATACAAAAATTAGTGTTTTTTATAATTGTCTCGATCAGTTGTTTATGAGAACTGACAGACAACAAATTTTATTTTTACAACTCTCAAGATAAAGAACTTTTTATTATCTACAACTTTTATTTAAAACATTTTTTTCTCCATTGACTGAGGTATTAATATAAATGTTTACATACATTCAATAAAAATGGCGAAAATATGAGTGAATGCTTAAATAATAAATGTAACATAAAAAATTAACCAAAAATGTGTTTTTGACACATAGTACCACATAGAATAACAAAAGCGGTTTGGGAAAAAAAAATACGAAAATAAGAAGTAGCACACTAAGAAAAACGTTAAACCAAAAAGTGGTGGAAAAAAGAAAAAATTGAAAAAAAAAACTTCAACAACTTACCTTATACTTAAACAACATATTCGCATTATGGTAATCGGCATGAATTATTGCTTGATCTTTAGGTATAGTATCACATATTTCCATGAATCGGTTAAAAATACTTTTTTCATTTATAAATTTCTCATAAACGACTGACAGATCGGGTCTGCCAGTTTCTTTTAACGTTTTTACTAAAGTAGGTGTCTTTGTATCAAATAGTGTTTGAAAGTTTTTTACCATTTTATGAAATAACAAGTCTTGGAAATCTTTTCAAAAGTTTCCTTCTTCTGATCCTTTAGTGCGAACGAAAGGGCATGTAACTTCGCATAAGATCGTAAACCCATTTGAAGATGGGCAATGTTCATGGGTTGGTCTCTAGGATGAAGCACATAGCCGTCTTTCTTTAAATTTTCTAAAATTATAACTGCATTGCCATCTTCCAAAAATGTTTTATAACATTTCGGTACCATATCGAAAGGAACATGCAACTTTTTTCCAAGCTGAAGTTGCTGATATTCTTTAAGAATTGTGCTGTAAAAATATACTTCCCTCTTGCAAAGTTCTTGCACTACAGGAGGAGATTTTTCTAATCGAAGATTCTTGATATTCGTTTTTATGACCAGATGAAGAAAGTCTTTTCCGTTAATCGGTTGTTGTAGATCAATTTTAACAAATACTAATTCTCCTACGTAACCTTCTCCTTTTTGCGTCGTGTTTTCAATGGTCAACGTAAAGTTTGCTGTGCCAATGGACTGCTGAATCCAAAAATGTAGTGAATCTTTGTTGAGTATCTTCACCATTGTTTACTTGTTTTTACGAAACTTTTTGTAAGTACCTACAGACTTCTAGGCACACCAACACGACCGATATTTTGAAACAAACGTACCACACTAAAATAAACTTTAGCGCATATAATACAGATAAGAACTATTTGAGACTTTATTAAAACTGTTGACAAAAAGTTAGTCAACGATAATATTGTGAAATATTGAAACCGTTTTATTATCACTAATATAATTATTTAAATATACGCATAACAGATATAGGATATCGAGATCTTATCTCCTCATCGAACACATCAGAATAACTTTTAAAACTATTTTAATAACTATTAAATAAATTATTTAAATTTTTTAAATTAAAATAAACTATTATAATAGATTTAAAACTAAAAAAAAAATTCTGTGCCTTGCTACTATGATAGTGTACTACTTTTATATTTTCTCTAACAAAGGCTACTAGCTTTATGACCAACCAAATGTTGATATTTTAGCTCTTTACTGCTTCATTTTATTTAAAAACAACCTAGTGTAAATATGCATTTAATTTATTATTAAATAAAATTGAATCAATTTGCACATAATCCTGCACTGTAATAGCGTGATAATAATATTATCCATCGAAGTGTAATTTTACTAAAAACTAATTATAGATAGAGCCTCTCATCAATAGTTCGCCATATTTAAGTTATAATTAGGATAAACGAATATAATAAAGTAATATTATAATATAACAACTCAAACACTGAAGAATTTAGTTTTAAAAATTTCCATAAAATTTTATTGTAAATTCTTATCACTACATCTGTTTCGGCAAAGTGTTTTTTTCAAGTTATCTATTTTTGGTATGTGTTTGATATGTGTCTTAAGTTGGTTATTTAAAAGTACATATTCGTATAGAATTTGTATTTTTTAATTTGTTGATTTTCATAGATTCTAATAAAGATTTGTGTGTGTGTGTGTGTGTGTGTGTGTGTGTGTGTGTGTGTGTGTGTGTGTGTGTGTGTGTGTGTGTGTGTGTGTGCTTGGAATATTGACTGCGAAACCTATGGTTTCATTCGCCTACTCATGTTTGATTCTTAACAATGATTAAAATAAAATCTATTAATATCTAAAATTTACATTATTAATATTTTTAAAACAATATCACTACGTTAAAAATTCTACATTATACAATTGGTAAACTAAGAAACATCATATTTTTTATTTATTTATTTTTTTTATTTTATACAATTTTGTATACAATTTTCTAGTAGAAGGTATCCAGTCTCGTATCCATGCATCCAGTGCCCAGTGGTTGTTTATCCAGTATTATCCAATTCGGCAAGCGGTGTTTTTTTATTTTAATTTTTTTATTTTTTTTCTTTTGTTTTATTTTTTTTATATTTTTTTAATATTTTTAATATTTTTACTGTATATCTTTTTATTAATATTGTTTAATATATATATATATATATATATATATATATATATATATATATATATTATTTTATATTATTTTTTCTTTTTTTATTTATATACAAGTTTTGGTATACACTGGTCTTTAAAAATTATTGTTTCATATTCTTATTTTTAAACTTATAAACTTCTAAATTGTTAGAAACTATTAACCCATAAAAAATATTGGTGTTTATTCTATTTTTACTACAATTTAATATCATATGTTCTAGTGTGCCATATTCTCCACATTCGCAGTTTGGGGAATTTACAATTTTTAATTTCAATAAGTGAGATGGTGCTAGGGAATGGTTGAATCAAATTCTACAGATAATTCTGATTGCATCGTTTTTTGTTATAAAATTACAAAACCTTGATTTGGTAGGAATTTTCGGCTAAATGCCTTTATAAAAAAGTCCCTTGGTGGAATGATCATATTTATTCATCTTCAGGTCTTCCAGAACTAATGAATAATTTACAACAGTATCGGAATCGAATGCTTCCTTGGTCAGTATGTCTACTTTTTCATTGTAGATTATTCCACAATGAGCTTTTAACCCAAACAAACTTAACTATTTTTCCTTTCTCATACAAGTATTTAAAATTGAATAATATATTTTGTAAGATATAATTATTATTAATATTAGTAGATATGTTTTTTTTTCTTTATTGAGTTTAATGCGTCGACAACTAATGGTCATTGGCATGGTACAGTCAATTTTTACAGTCAGGTGTGTAGTGTGTGTGTGTGTGTGTGTGTGTGTGTGTGTGTGTGTGTGTGTGTGTGTGGAGTAATTGTCTTGATACTTAGCAAAGTCGACGTCATTGTCTTTGCTAAGAGACGCTAATTGTATCCGAACGTCTGCGGTCCCTCCGGTGAGTACCGATCGCACAAGGATAGAAATTATTTTCATTTATTAATTTTTTTAATAAACGAAAATTTCCACCCAGGTAAGATTCGAACTCACAACCTTTAGGTTTAAAGGTAGGCGCTTTTACCACTGAGCCACAGAGGGGGTTTGTAGATATGTTTGAAAGTTTATGTAAAACACTTTTACAATCTGATATTATTAAAAAAAATTTATTATTAAATAAATTATTTTTAATATATTTTAATGCTTCTAATATAGCGAGTTGTTCAGCTGAATAACTTGAAAATTCACTCGGAAGTTTTTTAGCTTCGAAATAGTCTTGTGTAGGGTTCCAAAATGCACAGGACGTTTTTTCGTCTTTTTTTGATACATCTGTAAATATGATATGATAATTTTTAAAATCATTTTCTATGTCTGAATTAAACATCACATTTCTCAACGACATGGGGAAATTAGAATAATCTCTTACAAAACGTATGTCTATTTCAGGTACATCAGTTAAGTTTGATTAGTATATCGGTAACAGTTCGTCTTTATACATATTGTCTTTATATTGTAAGTAGTCTTGATATGATTTACATAAAACCAGTGATTTTTTTTCTGCTAGTACTTATTAGTTAAATCCGTTATAAAAAGGTTGTGAACTTTATTAACTAGACTACTATTTTTAGATGAAATTTTGCACAAAAATTTATTACAGAGATATTTTCTTCTTAGCGCTAAAGGCATTTAACAACATTCTACTTGAAGAGTTGAAATTGGTGTACTTTTAAAGGCTCCAAGGGATAATCTTAGACATTTATTCACAAAATTATCTACCTTTTTTAGGTTACTGGAGGCTTCTTTAGAGTAAAGAAAGAAGAGATGAAATCAAAAGCAATAGAAACAGCAGAGCATAAACCCAAACTGTGGCTTAGGTATTTTAATGACACATTTGTTATCAGGACGCATGAAGAAGAGAAACTTAACGAATTCCTAAAACACATTAATAATATCCATCCAAAAATACAGTTTACCATGGAACGGGAGAATAACTAACAACTTCCATTCCTAGATGTGTTAGTTATTAAGAAAGAAGACGAAAGCATAGGACACACAGTATACCGAAAACCAACTCATACTGACAGATACTTACACGCAGACTCACACGATCATCCTGCACAATTAAATTCGGTAATATAAACCTTAATAACAAGACCTGAAAAACTGGCAGATAAGGAACATAAGAACGAAGAAATGCAAAAAGACAAAACAGCTCTAAGAAAAAATGGTTTCTCCATGTCTACGATTACAAAGGCACAAAAATCTCGTAACAAAATCGAAGATCCAGAAGAAGAAGAAAAACCAGTCGGAAAAACTATCCTGCCGTATATAAAGGGTACGACAGACAAAATTAGCAGAGTGCTACGAAAAAACAAAATAGAAACTATTTGTAACGCCGACAAAAAAATCGCAACCATATTACCATCGACAAAAACAAAAGTTGCATGGGAAAATTAAGGTGTATACAGAATCCCGTATGAGGACTGCGATAAATCGTACATCGGACAGACAAATCGAAGGATGCAAGTTAGACGCGAAGAACATCGAAACGCCATCGAAAGAAAAGAGAAAACTTCATCTCTAGCACAACATGCCATAGACACAGGACAAAAGATAGACTTAAATGGAACAACAATGCTAGCCAACTTCGAAAATAAGGCCAAACGTGTAATCAGGGAAGCCATAGAGATCGAAAAACATCCGAAAAATGTAAATACCAGAGATGATGCCCAAAGACTCCCAAATACGTGGAAACCAATTCTGCAGAAAAAAATAGAAATTAAAATAGCGAAGAAGACCCCGCCCACTCTGCGCATAGGACTAATCACAAGAATATACAAGGAATCTACGTTCCTGTTGTTAGCTGTATACCATGTATTCAAATTTAATTAAAAATCCTTTGTAATAGGTATATTTTAGGCCCAAACGGGCTAAGTTAAAAAGACAAAACGTTTTCGGAAACCATGTTCCATCATCAGTGTCTAGGAGTACATGAATGAAGCCACCAAGATTAAATATGTGGGTAAAAACCCGATTACATATGTTTAATTACATTTAGTTTTAAAATAATGTTGTAATGATATAGGATTACAGAGTTACCGATGGATTTGGCGACGTATGACTCCGCGTTGAAGTTGCTAGTCCTGAGACGATATGTCTTCGAGGACTGTAGTTGAGTATTAGTTGCACTCATACAGTCCTCGAAGACATACCGTCTCAGGACTAGCAACTTCAACGTGGAGTCATATGTCGCCATGTTACCAAATCCATCGGTAACTCTGTAATCCTATATCATTACAACATTATTTTAAAACTAAATGTAATTAAACATATGTAATCGGGTTTTTACCCACATATTTAATCTTGGTGGCTTCATTCATGTACTCCTAGACACTGATGATGGAAGATGGTTTCCGAAAACGTTTTGTCTTTTTAACTTAGCCCGTTTGGGCCTAAAATATACCTATTACAAAGGATTTTTAATTAAATTTTTAATCACAAGAAGTGCTACAAGGTATTTAAACTCAACGTGCAGCTACCTGAAAATCAGTTCTCCTGAAACATCAAGACGAAGCAGAACTAATCTGACTTGAGAATGGCAAGTGTGACCTTGCCGAAATGTCGTCAAAACAATGGTTTTTCTGAAAACCATTAACCAAATAAAGTGTA